GTAAACAAGTCAGTTTTCCAACAACAGATTTCATGTACTGCGTATTTCTTAGACATTTCTTAGTAACCAGCAGTGATATTGGACAAACTAATACGCGTTTGGCTATAAGGTAATGTACTTATTAACTACACAAGGTGCCAGTTACTGTAGCATTCGTTAAAATTGCATAATCAATGGTCGAATTATGCCTTTAAGCTAGCTGTGCCTGTCACAGGCCGACACGATAACACGCCAAGCATGCACTGCGGTGTAAATTTGCACTGTGATTGTCTGAAAAAAAATGCTATACAAATTTATCCAATTGCTATGCAAAATTTATTTTGTATAGCACATTTGCTATGGAAATTTTTGGCTGGAAATTGTTCCCTGTAATGTTTTAAAAATATATGTGAAACATAAAAGCGAGCATATTCTGTGGTTGACAAGTACAAATGGCTACTATATGCCCTCTTCCAACCTATAAAGAATGTAAGATGGTGCAAATAAGGAGAACAAAATACCATCCAAATGGAAAGGGAAAACTGGAGGTTTAAAACTGGAAGGTTATCCACGTAAAACTGATAATGTGTGATGCTAAGGATACATGAGAGACACAGATGACGGAGGGTAGTTTTGGAGTCACACCACTGATCTCACTCACCCTTCTCGCTGACAGAATCATCTTCATTGGGTTCCTGCACAGGGTCCTCCGCTGGCTGGTTACGCCTTTCCCTCCACTGCTTGACTGCATCAACTGCTTTATGAAACCCAGACACACTCTGGCTCACCTGTACGAAGTTCACTCATGTTACATTGTCTTAAAAATATCAAAACGAGAAACCAGAATTCCTTTGAGGGTCATCTTGCTTCTAACAAGATAAGACACGTTAATCTTACAGCAGAAAAACTTTACGTTGTGGACATTCGTGCACCTCTACACAGTGGCAGGTAGAATTATTACATGTTATCATGACAGAAGCTTAGCGATCCTCAAATCATTGAAAGAGAATGTTAATTTAACAAATTATTGACAAATCAAATACGTGTGTAACAAACCATGTGCACAACAAGAAGATTCCACAGAGATGGCCTTGGAATAAATTTCATTTCCATCTCCAACACTTCATCAATCTCAGCATGCATTTTTTTCTTATTAGTTCTCTGCCTCCGAGTCATTAGAGCTTCTTGCTGCAAAAGAAACTCCACTGTAAGTACATATAAAAACAGACGTAATATGAAACCAATATTATTACACGCAAATCCAGCAAAAAGATTCCTGCTACAATTTTGCTCAATTCTTAGAATCTGTGCTTCGATACAATTGTAAGGTGTAACCTTAATGACCACTCCAATCCCATTAACCCCTTTCACATTCCCATTCCATGCAGTACCTGCACGATGATCTATCATACCAAGACGAACATTCACACTATTCATATATTCACAATGAAATATAACCAAGTAGCTTAGGTGGTTTGAGCATTACCTACAGTAACTAAAACACGTAAACTTTACAGGTCTCACCAGTTCAAACTTTCGCTCCCAGTATGCTGCCCACGCCACGATATACTGCCCAACTGTGATTATAGCAACAAGAAGGATGGCAATCTCCAGAAGACCCAACTTCCTAGCTTTGCGGTAATAATATACTGGTTGCCTCCAGTTAGGTAGGCCGTTCTTCAAGATATCGTCATACCTCAAGGGAGAAATCAACAGGAAATTATTTGCAAGGAAAGTTAAATTTCAACCCAATATTAATAAATACAAATGAAATATAATAGTTATTTACCACTATACTTCAATGAGATTAATAACAGTAATGAGTTTGAATTGAATGTATACAAGTTTATGCATCATGATGCACAGTAAAATTAGACAAACAGAGCTAGGACAAGATCATTAAAGAAAACGTCAGAATTCGAGGAAACATCCCCACATTTTTTATTGAATGCAGCTTTAGTGCCTGGTGGCTTATTACCTTTGAATCGGAAGTAAATTTCAAACAATTTAGGATGGAGAAATGTAACTATACTCACTGCTGTCTTGTTTTCTCATTCTTGAGTATTTCATGTACAGATGTTATCTGAAAAATCCGCAAAAGCTGTTAGGTAATACTTTACTTTTACATCAAATAAATTTGCTGATATAGGGGTGGAACAATTCACCGATATATCGATGTATTTATTGTGATACAAGCCTTGATGATACACGTATCGATACGTTCAGCATTCATGATACATGTATCAATATGCTATTGAATAAAATCCATATCATTTACTAGCGAAGCTTCATCAACAAATGAAAGAAACACGACACAATTCCATAGCATATGTTTACTAAGCACCCTATGATACTGATTTGTACATGTTCATATGATTGCTTGTGTCGCCAATAAAACGTTCCTTACCATCATACCACATTGGGCCTATGGGCTACGCAGAGGCGGCTGTATTTAGAATAATCAAATCAGGGGAAACAGGGCTAGGAGGCCAAACCAGCTTCCTTATTGACAGATGCTGTATGACAGTACTGTTGGGGTCAGAGGGAGTGGAAGTGCTATGGTTCTATCACATTTCTGTTTCTCGTTTTTCAAGATAAAAATTATTTCTATAACACAGCAAACATTGGGTTCTTCATACCTTCCTGAACATTTCCTCTGCATTTTCATCCTTATTCTTATCCGGATGCCATATCAGGGTGAGTTTTCTGTAAGCCCGCTTCAACTCGGGTATCGATATAGTCTGAAATTATACAACAAGTTGAATAAAATGACATTACTTACTAGCTTATACTGGGCCTATATATAATCCCTGCATGTGAACGTTGCATTATGTATAATTGGGTGCATATACATGGGTAGAGATTTTTATGACAATTACATAAATTAGATATTGATATCGATGCTGAACCCCGCCAACGAGTATCTCAGAGAAAGCTGCCTCTTGTTGGCATTACAGGTTGCAAATGATCGACCCTTAGAAATATTTATTAGTGAAACCACGTCTGACCTTTGAAGCTATAACTACATAATAAGAAAAAGTATCGATACACAGTAAAGTGTGAGGACAAGTTGGATTTTCAGCGCTATAGTTCTGATGTCATTTTTATTGGACTTCACGTAATCAATCATAAGTAAATATGGGCATGGAAATGTTGAATTTCTTGTGTTGCGAGCCTGTCATACTCCTCTCTATTATTCCCTCCTGATATTATGCAAGCTGTCTATAGACTATGATAACGACTAACGTTCCTCAGGTCTACACTTGCAGTGTTAGAGAGTACACTGACTACACACAGGCACTTGGAGCAATTTTACTGACACTTAAATATATATTTAAGTGTCAGCTAGTGTGCAGTGTGAACAATGCGAGCAAACGCGGCCGCCAGCATTTGTTGCACATGTATGAGCATTTGGACGACATTTACAAGAAATTGTTGGCAATAATAGATGAAAGAAAGAATTAGAAACATTAAGACTTTGGTAGTTAATATATTTCGTATTTATTTAGCATTATATTTTATTGAAACACTCCAAGTGCCGCTGAAGAGGTCGTTGTCGTATCAGGTACTACAGATATGTACCCGAGGTACATATATGTATACACAAAGTGTACCAGACTTGTACTACAGAAGTGTACCCTAACCCTAACCCTAGCCCTAACCCTAACCCTAAACATGCGCTTGTTATATATATATAACTTCATAATCTTAACTTATTCTTATATCTATTATATATACTGTATAGATATAGGAAACTGTCCCCAGCACCTTCAGTATAGCCCGACCAGCTGTTCGACGGATGTCTATACAGCCCTGACACCCTTCCATACAAAAACTATCACCTCTGCAGATTTACGATCTGCCAGCCATCAAGCTGGCGCGAACGCGAACAGCCGCCGACCGACGGCCCATTGATGCGAAATCGCTGCCCTGTGAAATCAAAACATTCACATGCCATTGGGAGAAGATAAAAAGCGGTGAATCGGCAATTGACATTCTGCATTCCCAGAAAGCCTTTCGAGATGCACGTAATGACGAGCATTAAATACAACATGCTCAGTTTTGTTCCGCGCTCGGGCGCGCCGTCCTTTTTCGTGTAGAAATATAATTTACCCTTTTCGCGTTCATGCCCTGATCATAATTGAGCGTTATCGCCGACCATTAATGGCCGCAACGAGTCCATCACGTACCATTTTCAAAGTACCTTTAAAAAAAAAGACGCTCCGGCTCCATGACCTAACCTGCCGCGCCGTCGCCACAGCTTTCGACACGCTAGCGTGTGTGCCCAAACTTTTCAATCTTGCCCCACAAAACTTGAAATTCACCCATCCCAGTTTGGGCAAACCAATCTTGAATTGCCAACCAGATTAAACAAGCTTGCCCACAAACATAGATGCTTATTAGCGATTTCAAATGTATACTCATAAACTTAGAAGTTCGCATAACCTTCTTTCCTCAATGTGTTTCATATCTTCTTCGCACTTTGTATCCAAATATTAAATATTTATAATAACATAATTGGCATAGATTTAATATGAATAATCTCTTTCCTAGTTGCCACCACCGCACACCATCACACCTCGCTCATCGAGCGTTCGTTTGAATCACCAAACTGTTTCAGTTGCACCAATCTTGAGATCTGCGTCAGCCCCAACTAGAATCCGCAGTTTGCGCTAGCACTAATCGTGCACGAAATCTCGAGATTGTCCCATCATTCCAATTTTGGGTACAATCATAGCGTAATCCTCACTCAGTGTTAGCCAAACGATAGTTTGGCCTAGTAAGTCG